CTGCTGCAAGGAGACAAGATCGGTCATCCCGTAGGCTGTGAGCATCTTCTTGTGTCCTTGTACAGCGTGTAGGCTCCTCAGACCACCAAAGGCCAGGTGGGAGTTGAGCTGGGGGGTCCTAAATGTCCTGACCAGCCTGGATTATTGCATGGCTTCATCCCATTGCTGTGCGGGTAGTGCCAGCACGAACGTGGGGTTCCCCTCATGAGTTGGACTGGGATTATGAAAACAGAGGTGTTCAAGTTTTTTAGGACTTTCTTGTTAGGCTGTGAGCTTTAAACTTAAAATAAGGCTATGCAGAAAGCTGTCTCTGAAAATAGCTTCTGTATTGTGCAGATAAATACACTGTGAGGCAGTGAATCCGTGGAGATGTAGAGTAAAAGGGGAATTTTTAAAAATCCCATTTCTGTTAAACTAGGATATTCTGTCCTCGTCCTTAGCTGTGCCATCCATGCAGGTGTGGTGCAGTTGCTCTGCAGTCATGTATCACAGGGTAGAGAATTTATATAACAGCACCTTCTTCAGTCCTCTTTTTAATCTTTCTTACCTTCAAAATTCCCCGTGCCAGAGTTGAAGCACCTGAAGGAAGAGCACGTGCTTTTTTTGTGTCATGGAGATGATGCAGAGTCATCCAAATTCCCTTCTGTTCAGGTGCTTTGTCTGCACTGAGTGTTTTACTCAGAGAAGATGTCTTAGAAACGTGGTGCCCTTTTTCCCCATGCAATTGATGAAGAAGGTCCCTCTGGGTTTCTGTCAGCAGCTTTGTATCAGACATTTAACTTTGGCTTGTGTAGCAACAGACATTCTATAAAATAAGGTTTTTAAATTTTCTTCCTTAATGCAGGGAACCAGCAGGAAGAATGGAAGTGGAATCTCAAGTTTTCTGTGTTTGTGTCTTGTACCTGAGACATCAGGATCACTTGAACTTCATGTGATCTTGATGATTAATAAAGCTGCCTGCAAAGATAAAGCTATCTGGATAGAAAAGTAAATTTATTAAGGCAGGTTATCATGATGTTGAGTAGTTAGAGTAGATGTAAGGAAGGAATGTTTGAAGGTGGAAGATGACTTGGACATAACCTGACTGTTTTCTTCCTCAGTGCCTTTACCCTTTGAGTGCTGGCTTCTGTTCTGGGCTGGGACTCCCACACCTGTTCGTGTGACCCAGAAGCTTGCTGTAGAAAAGCTGCTTGGCTATGCCCTGTGTGAGAGGAGGGAGTGACTCCTTGGGCTGCTGAACATCCTCGAGCCATGAGAGATGCCAGGTTAAATCCACGCTGGCACACGGGCCACCAACCGCTGGATAACCCCGGACTTAGGGGCACCCGAATTGTGCTGTGTGCTGGATCTGGCTCTCAAAATCAAACTAACAGCATCCCCTTCTGCGGGGCTTTTTGAGCTTTATAGTCAGAGTCCCCACTTGGGAGCGTGGTGTTTATTTGTACCCCAGCAGTGCCACTGGTGTCTGTGGGACTTGCACCAGACCTAATGAGCCTCTTCCCAACAGCCTCGGCTGTTCAGAGCGGGTTTTTTTTTTTTTGGACGCGCACAAATAAAGGCACTTAAAAAACAAATAGCACCTGATTTCCATATATAGAGTCTTTGGGAAAATACCACCCCATCAATTATGTATTTTTTTTTAAACACTGCCTTTTATTCCTCTGTCTAACGGGGCCCATTTAACGCCGCGAGTAATGTTCTGAGTAATACCGGGCTTGGCACAAATGAGGCGCTTAACCGAGCTCCTTATTTTATTATCCATTGTCTGCTAACCGTTTTTTTGTTGTTTCATTTATTTGCCTTTTCCCCGGGGAAGGCAGGATGGCAGCTCGGCGTGTGCTGAAAGCAGTCTTGGTGGATCTCAGCGGCACGCTTCACGTTGAAGACTCGGCCGTGCCCGGCGCGCAGGAAGCTCTTAAAAGGCAAGCTACCTTTTCCCAGTTCCACAAAGACACTTCTTTAAACAGGTCTGGAGCTTCTGCTTTTTTTTGTGACATTGTGGGTAAGCAAGTAGGCAGCCAAATTCTGCTTTTATTTATAATTGTATTAATAGTAAGGGGAATCGTCGAGAGGCTTAGGTAGTGAAAAGTTGCCATGTGTCACCTAAGCCCCCACAGCTTTCCTCCTGAGATGCTCTCTATATCTTTTCTAGATAGAAAAGACTTAATATCCAGAATATTTCCTCTAATTTGTACAGAACTGGAGCCTCCACTGAAGTGGAAAGTATTTAATTTAACCTGAATTGCCCCATGTACACCGAAGTCACCTCATCTGAGCTGTTCCTCAGGGCTTCAGCTACAAGAACCTGATTGTAGGTCTGAGCTGAGGTGGGATAACAGAGAGAATAGCTTGGCCCAGCAAGCAAGACATCTTCTGCAGAGTTCTCATTTCTTTTGGTCTTTCAGCCAAGGCTTTGCTTTGTTTTTTTTAAAGTTTCTCTGCTAGGTAAATGACATCAGTTGTATTTTGGTTTGGGAAACATTGGATAATACTGCCCATCTTTTGTAGGAATTGCAACACATTAATAAACAGGACAGTTGAGTGGCTCTTTTTTTTTCTGATGAAAGGGTGCCTAAAGAAACTGAGGTGTAGAAAATGAATTAATCTGTCCCCATTCAGTGGCAAAACAGGATACACAGCCCCAGGGATCCTTCTACTGTGTTATGACACTGTTATGCTGGAGAAGAAACCTTCCAATGGTTGAAGAACACCACAAGGTGATATGTGCTGTGATGGTGAGCAAGGGTGGACACCTTAAGATGCCAGGACAGTACAGATTAATCAGGAGAGAGGAACAGGGTTGACTTAAGGATGAGACATTTTTACTGGAGCTCATGAAGGGACTAGGAAACTCCACATTTCTTTCCAGAAATAATGCCGTGGAAATAATTATCTCCTAAAGATGTAAAATTGCAAAGAAGTAAAAAATGATGAAGCAGTGGGTACTCATTGATTCACTGGAGCTTGCCTGCCCAGTGTTTCAGGCTGCAGGGAGGAGTTGTGCCAGGTGAGGGTCAGCATTCTCAAATATCCATGCAAATATATGCTTGTAAAAGTGGTGATTTTGCAGAGAATGTTGTGCCAGAAGGGGGTTCCTTACCCAGTGTGCAGAATCTCTGTGTGCACACAGAGTCAAGATACCTGCTGTTATTCCAGTTCTGCACAGAAAAGGGGTGCTGGGTGATCCTTTGCAAAACTAGTACACCTCTGAGACACAAGCCTGGTCTGACATAGAAAATAATAATAAAGAAGGAGTTGCAGTAGAGTGAATGATTGGTTTGTCATTTCATCAGCCTTAACTTTACCTGTGAAGACAGGAATTTAGTATCCCCTTGTCTCCAGGCTGCTGCAGTCCTTTAGGACCACAAAGGGACAAGGTGCAGGAGGGTGTGGTGCTGTTTGTCAGCTTCAGCCTGCTGTCACAGGCATGGAGAGCAGGGGCTGTCCTTTCACCACAAAGAACAGACAGGTCTTTTTTGCTCAAAAAATATTCTCTCCTGCTCTTTTCTGCTAATCCATGTCATTATCTTCCCTAAAGAGAAGCTGAGGTGGTTGGCATGCAGCTTGCTTGGGTGACAATGGGTAGATTCCATTTTTAGGGTTGCTTCTCAGTGTTGAGGTCGATAGGAAAACACAGTGTTTTTGTTTTGTCAGCAACCAGGGCACTCTTGTACCCACCTGTGTGTACAGAGGTCAGCGTGTCCTGGGCAGCAGAACAGACAAGAGGAAGAAGAAGTGGCAGGTGCAAGCAGGTCTCCAGAATTCACCAACTTTATTCTGATGTTCTCCATGCAGTGGTGATGCCAGTGTTTGTTTCTATAGCAACAAGCAGAAACTGATGGTGGGGGAATAATTAAAGGGAAAGCCATTTAAATTGTCACTTAAAATTATTTGATTGTTTGGTGGCGTGTACTGTCGGTGTAGGGCAATAATCTGGTTTTATGTGATACTGATGTTCCTCAGTAAAGGGAGAAGTGGCTTCAGTGAAGAGAAGTGGCTTCAAAAGCTGGCATAAAATCTCCACACAGGTAACTCAGGCTCCTGGAGCATCCTGTATCTCTGAATGAGCCACAGCTGCTGCGAAATTCACACGGGCTGTGGAGTTCAGTGTATCAGTTCAGCAACAAGATTCTTCTGTTTGTTTACTTTGGTTCAGGATGCTGTCCATGGGGGATACAGGGCTGGATTATTTATTATTTACTTTGAATTAAAAGTCCTTTCAAACTCATTACTGTTGATCATAGGTGTGTTTGTTACTGCTGTGCAGATGGAGTTTGGAATCACCCTTTTCCTCCTGACTTCCCTTGGTGGAAGCAGAGCAGGGGTGACCTGGTCTCCTTCTGGTAGCTGTAATTCTTGCTATCTATCTCTCATTACCAGTCCACAGAAGTTGACAAAACCATGGTTGTTGTGTGGCAGCAATGCTCTGGGATGTACCCAGCCTTTCTGTGTACAGCTCTGGGACAAGCTTCTAGTCCTTTTCTGCTCCCCGAGTGAGGTGAGTAGGGTGCTGTGGCTCATGTCCCCTCCCTCCTCATCCCTCAGGCTGCGCAGCGCCCCGGTCACCATCCGCTTTGTGACAAACACCACCAAGGAGTGCAAGAAGGACCTGCTGGACAGGCTGACGAGGCTGGGCTTTGACATAGCAGAAGATGAGATCTTCACTTCTCTGACAGCAGCCAGGAATCTTCTGGAGCAGAAGCAGGTGCGGCCTCTCCTCCTGGTGGACAAGAAGGCCCTGCCTGATTTCACAGGTGAGCTGGTCAGAGGACAGTGAAAGGGGAGTGGCCAAACAACAAAGGGATCCCAGTGCCCTGTGTTTTGTAGAGTGACAGTCATATGTCCAACCTTCCTCCCAGTAGTTTCCTATCCCCTACACTGTAGCCTCAAGTGCTACATCTGCTCATTTTTTGAACCCCTGCAGGGATGATGACTCCAGCACCCCCCTGGGCAGCCCCTTCCAGTGCACCTAACAGCACTGATTTCTTTTATACCAAGGATGTGCCAATTTGTTGGAAAATCTGGTTTCCCTCAGCTGTTACACAGAGGTTTTGCTTGTGAAGAGCTGAAAAGCCAGTGGCACAAACAGGAAGCTGTGTCCTTTATAGGTTGTTATTAAATGTAAAATCTCCAGGTAGTTACTGTTACTTACTTTGTAGTGAAGGCCTAGGTCTCCCTCCATGTACTCTGATGCCTTAATTGGTGAGAGAAGGTTCATCACCATGACTTCTGTAGACTGTCATCACTAAAGACCTGGTTAAAACTTGCTTTGTTTCAGATGTTGCCATTTCCCTCCCTCAACAATGAGGGGAGTAGAAGATGATATATTCTAACTCAGACATGTCTGGCAGGTGCCTGAAGGTAGGACAGTTAGTCTTTGACTTAACCACGTCGTTATTTCAAGATTAGTGGAGACACCCATGTTCTTAACATCCTCAGAGTTGAAAACTGAACATTGTATATTCAGCCTCTGATTTAAAGTCAGAGCCCCTGCTCCTAGCAGGCCCTGAGAGCAAGGGAGCCTGATAATCTATTCTACCCAACGTTGTGTCCAGAGGAATACACCCCCAGCAATACTTTGTGTTTTTGTGAAGGCTTTCTTGGGTCAGACACATCAGAGACAGCAGCTATTTCACTGGAGGTATTTATATCAGTTTAATCTCCGTGTATTTGGGATCTTCCCACCAGTTTTACAGTAAGTGATGCTAATTTTGCAGAAGATGGCAAACGCAGAGATATCAGCAGAGTACCTTGGGGGCATTATCTGTATTTTCTGGGTGTGGGATTGTTTGTTTTGTTTCTTTTTGCTACAAGGTGTTTGGCTCACATTCTCTCAGCTTATGTACAAGGAGGAGAATGCCTTCAGTTCCTGTGGCAGGAGATGTCACTCTCTGGAGACCCAGGAGCTCTCCTGGTCCCAGCAGAGGTGTGGAGGATACGCTGTGAAGGCAGAACAAAAAACCCATCAAGTGCAGGATGCAGCTGATGACCTGCCATAAATGGAACTCTCTTGCACTCCTGTTTCTCCTGCAGATGCTGCTCTGCTTCCACAGCTGGCTCTGTTCAGAGGTGACTCTGCCCTGTAAAAACAGTCGTGGTCCTCCAGAGCAGTGCAGGACAAAAGAGGGGAAAGCTGTTCTCGAGGGGACTAATCCACATTAGAAACAACACCTTCCAGAAGAGACAAAACTAATCTAGTGTAACAGCTTGTAGGTCATACTGCAGCACCATCTTCAGCTTTATATCCAGGCTGATGTGTAGAAAGAACACTCAGGCTCTGTACCCAAAGTGGAGTTTTCCATGACTAGAGGGAATGGAAAAACTACTCTGTCTAATGTCTGTGTCAGAAAATGCCTGTTTCTGCTGTGAAGTGATTCATCAGGTTTGTCAGCTACGTTCTGCAAAGTGTGAGTTAAGATCCTGTTGGGTCCCAGCCGTGTTTTGGTTTTCCAGGGATCACCACTGATGACCCCAATGCCGTGGTGGTGGGACTGGCTCCTGAGCACTTCCACTACGAGATGATGAACAAAGCCTTCCGGTAAGGCAGCCCCTCCTGGAGGGGCTTTGGGTGGTGGCTGCCTCAGGCTGGGCTCTGTGCCTCTTGTACAGGCATGTTCCCAGCTGCTCTGCTGGCAGGAGGATTCCATCCTCTGTGATTCTGCCCCAGGTTTGCCCAGTGTTTTCCTGGGGCGAGGCCCTAGGATGGGCTTTGTCTGACCTTTAACATCTCACTGCCTTGCCCTGGATTATCCCCCAGTCCTTTACTGATGGTAACCCCTTGTGCTGGTGTCAGTTTTGTTTGATATAATGGCAACACTGACTCTTGGCCACTTTGTCTTCTTCTCGAGCCTCATGCCATGTCTATATTCCTGGTCCTCTACTGCTCAGATAGTGAAGTCACTTGGGATTTGTGTTGCTCATAGCCAAAGTTTAGGTGACTCTGATGAACTGCAGGTACCTGCAGTGCTGGTGCCTGTGTCTGAGCTGGTGACCTGGGCTCCTGAGGGAGAGAGGAGGCTCTTGGAAGTGCTTAAAACAGGACAGCTGAACTGTGCCCTAGAAGAGCTTTTTCCTCTCCACTGACTGCGAGGAGCCCAGGCTGACTTACTACCTGGTAGGCAAGTACTCTGTTCATACCTAACATTAGGTTATGTAAATCTAACCCAATATGAGTCCCAAAACGAGGTGCACAGAGCAAGCCCATTCTCTAGGCACCGTTTGAAATGACTGAGACTGAATTTCTCTTTCTGTATACGTGGCATTTTAATGCTGCACTTAAAAGAATTCTCTCAGGTGAGATCTCTCCCAAAAAGTGCTGAATGTCAGTGGTTGTGGTGCTGCTGTCAGATTAAATTTTCCTGTATCCTGAAGGCATCCTCCCATGGTGAACAGAGACACATGCTAGCTCTCCTCTCGTTGAGCTTGCCTTGGAACACGTTGATTCTGTAGAAGTGTTTTGTGATAATTAAGTGACATGAAATGTGGTAACTCACGTCCTGCTCGGCGTGCCCAGGCTGCTCTGCAAGCCCCTGTGACAGCAGACACCCTCCAAGGAGCTCACCTTGGCCAGCCTCTGCGAGAGGGCCACAGCAGAGCTCCAGAAAGGCAGTGGAGGGGCAAAGCAAGGCTCTGCTTGTTCCCTTAGTAGTGATGTTAACTGTGGAAGTTGGTGGGATGTGAACCTGCCTAATATCTGTGTTCTTTTTTATGTACCTTGCTGCAATTCCTCTGATGTTAAAATACAAATTAAGGCAACATGATTAACCTTCTGCCTGGGACTCAGCTCAGCACACATCCCTGCTGGAAACACAGCTCTGATTGTCACAGGTGACACCAGCAGTCCCGAGAGCTGCTGGGCTGCAGAAGTCCTGGTGGCAGCAGCCTGAAGCACTGCTGTGTTTTCAGTCCAGGCAAGGAGACTAAGGTGGTGACCAACAAACTGCCACCTGCAGCCACTGCCTGTGGGTGATGGGGTTTAAAATATTTACGTAGGGACATCTGGTGGGTTCTGATGTTAGGGTGTTTGAGTGAAAAATGGGGCTGCATAGAGTGATGGACCTCACTGAGTGAGAGATACAGACAGGACTTTAAACATAGTTACCTGTTAACATCCTAGTGCTAATCAGTTGTTTTGGGGGTTAATTTTATTGACTATTTCTGGGGAAAAGAAAGGAAATAGCTTTACTTAACTCTCCAAATAAATGTTAGCTTGCATTTTAATTTGGGGCTTGATAAGAGTCAGTGGGATTTTCATCATCAGCTTGAATGAAGGCAAATGGAGGACTTCAGCTCTAAGTCACATGGGGTTTTAATACAATTTTTAGTACTTGTTTTCTTCGTTCACTCTTCAGGTTGATTTTGGATGGTGCCCCTCTTATAGCTATACATAAAGCCAGATATTTCAAGAAGAAGGATGGCTTGGCTCTGGGCCCTGGACCTTTTGTAGCTGGGCTGGAATACGCGACGGACACCAAGGCGACCGTGGTGGGGAAGCCAGAGGAAACCTTCTTCCTGGAAGCTCTGCGGGGCACCCACTGTGCCCCAGAGGAGGCTGTCATGATTGGTGATGTACGTGGGGGCCTTGTCACCTGCCTGTCACCGCAGTGCTCATCTCCACTCTCTGTCCTACCTCCCAAATGCCATGAGCTGATCTTTCTAAAAGCGCCAGGATTAAACGAGGGGTGGAAATTGAACTGCCAAAACTCAACAGGATTAAATGTGTGCTCCGTGGGGTTGGTTCTCTTACTGGAGCCACTGTCTGGTCAGGCAAAAAGCACATGGTAAATCATCCCTGTGACAGTTTGTCTCATAGGTAGCTAAAAAATGTGACTCCATAGAGCTGTGTTTAACTGCCTCGTTACTGGTGTGTAAAGCAGAGTTAAAGAATTGTTCTGGCTGGAAGAGACCTTAGCACTGAGTCCAACCCTTCCCCCAGCACTGCCAGGTCCCCACTGCCCCGTGTCCCTCACACCACATCTCCAGGGCTTGGAAACCCCTCCAGGGGTGGGGACTCCACCACTGCCCTGGGCAGCCTGGCACAGCCCTGCACAGCCCTTGCCAGGGAGACATTGCTCCTCAGGGCCAACCTCAACCTCCCCTGGGGCAACTTGAGGCTGTTCCCTCTTGTCCTGTCCCGTGTCCCTTGGGAGCAGAGCCCGACCCCCCCCTGGCTCCAGGCTCCCGTCAGGAGCTGTGCAGAGCCAGAAGGTCTCCCCTGAGCCTCCTTTGCTCCAGGCTCAGCACCCCCAGCTCCCTCAGCTGCTCCTCCCCACACTTGGCCTCTAGACCCTTCCCCAGCTTCATTGCTATTCCTTGGACATTCTCCAACACAGTTTCATGAGTGTCATGACAAACTTAACAAGTCATAGCTGTGACCACTAACCAGGTGTCTCCTGTTGTGTCCCAGGACTGCCGGGATGATGTTGGTGGTGCCCAGAACGTGGGCATGCGTGGGATTTTAGTGAGGACTGGTGAGTACTGAATGGGTCACTCATTTCAGGAGACAGTGCTGCATTCAGTGAGCTGGCCCTGGGTCATGGAATCATAGAATTGTCCTGGCTGGAAAATCCTTTAAGGTCACAGCTGCAGCGTGGCAGTGGATTGTGTTTAAGGCAGGATGGTCCATGATGTTTCTGTATCAGCAGCTGGGCTACAGCACAGACCTCAAACTGATAGCAGGGTGATATAAATAGAGGGGGGGTGGCTCATCTTGTAGGTGTGAATTTTTTGCTTCAATGACTCTAAAATCCTGATCCAAGAACAGAGAGAACGGTTACTGGGGCATCTTAGATTCCCAAAATCAGTCACAGCAATGTAACCTGTAACCATTCAGGAGCTCTGGTGGCATTCCTTAGTAATTCCATGGGTAATTATAAAAGTCATTTTGCTTCAGGTAAAAGGGCACCCGTAAGGGACTGACAGGTGTTGTCAGTGTCACTGATGGTACCATGGTACTGTGGACTGGGTGAGCAGCCTGTTACATTGAAAATGAAAGCAAGTTGCTATACTCCTCCTCATAAAAGCCAGAAGGGAAGATGATAACATTATTTTAACAACCTACAGGAGGGCTCTGAAGCTTCTGAGGGGCTGGAGCATCTCTGTGCCAGGACAGGCTGAGAGCCCTGGGGCTGGTCAGCTGGAGAAGACTCAGAGGGGATCTGATCAATGCTGAGCAAGAGCTAAAGGGCCCTTGGGGGGCAAGAGGCTGGGGCCAGACTCTGGTCAAGGACCAAGGGCAATGGGCACTAACTGGGACCCAGGAGGTTCCATCTGAACAGGAGGAGAAACTTCTTTGCTGTGAGTGTGGCGGAGCCTGGAGCAGCTGCCCAGAGAGGCTGTGGAGTCTCCTGCTCTGGAGAGATCCCAAACCCACCTGGCTGTGACCCTGGGCACCCTGCTGTGGGTGACCTGCTGGAGCAGGGGGGTTGGACCAGATGATCTCCAGAGGTCCCATCCAACCCCCACTAGTCTGTGTGACTCTTGTGCTTCTGTGAACCTACAACATGAGTGTCTGAACTAGTAAGTGACTAGTGCCAGTGCAGCAGAGTGAATCCTGTGCAGAAACACTCACTTTGGGCCAGAGCTGCCCCTGGAGGAATGTTCAGCAAGGCCCAGGGTTTGTTTAGGGAAGACCTGTGAGATGTTTGTTGCCAGAGAACAGGTGGGAAATCTACTCTGGTTCTTACTCACCTGAGGAGGTGGAAGTTTTAAGGGGAAAAAAGGGACACTTAGAAGAGTTTGGTAAATCCATCGTGTTGTTAAATCTGTTACAGGTAAATATCGACCAGCAGATGAAAACAAAATCAATCCAGCTCCTTACTTAACCTGTGAGAATTTCCCCGAGGCTGTGGAACATATCCTAGAGCATCTGCTGTGAGAAAGGGAGTCTAAACAAACCTCTGTGTCACATCAGCTCCCCTGGCTTCAAAACAATTAAGGTCACAGGATTAACACATGGATCACCTCAGAAACCTCCCCGTGAACCCCTTCCACCCGTGAGGCAGCAGAGCACCGTGGGCACAGGTGACATGGAATTCCAGTTATTTTCCATTTCCAAGAGATAACTGGTGAGGAGCACTGACTGGGAAGCATCACGTTCTTCTGCTGAATAAACTAAACTGAAAAAAAACACTGGAAATACTCGAGGAAATGAACCTCGAGGAGGAGCAGAGCCTTAGTCAGCCTCTGGTGACGTCACTGCCTGTGGTTCTGCCCTGCTCCCACTTAACTTTGGTGATTAGGCACGTTCAGAAGTGGCTTTTAAATGAAAATAGCACCATTGTTTAATAATAACAACTGCTGTTGGTATCTTTCCTCTCATTAGAGCAAAGCCAGAGTTTTGTTTTTCAAATTTTACATAAAACTGTCAGCCTCTTACAGATGTTTTAATTAGATGCTCTTATTAAAAAGAATGGTACAGAAGCAAAAATCTGGTATTAAAGCCCTTGGAGACGGTGAATTTTGGAAATTGCACTTCAGCAGGGACTTATTAATGCTAAGAGTTGCAAAATTTCACTATTGTTTGGGTTTTTTTTTTTTAATGTTATGGGAAGAATCCTTCACAAGCCGTGGGGACGGATTCCAGTTTTTCCACAGTTGGCTGGCAGAGCTGGAAAATGGGATTTATTGGGGTGCTGTGCCTAGGGGCTGAACCCCCCCACCTGAGCCAGCTTTGTAACGAGGCTGAGCTGTCTCTCTGGCCCATTTGTAAACTCTGGTGATCAAAGTCCTTCACGGGGATCCTGAGTGTTAAATTATTAGACTGTAATTATATGTTCCTGGAGTATTAACCTTATTGGAAATGCAGCTTTCTGCTAATGAGCCGTGCTCGTTCTCGTTAAGAGGAACCATGGTGATGAGTGAAGGGGAAGCTCTGCTCATGTCAGAGTGCCTGACTGCAGTCCCACTGCTGGGTTCACCTTTAATCTCTGTCTTGGTGGAGTAGACAGGGCAGGAGAAACACAAGAAACAATAACCCACCCCCCAGGAACAAACCCCAGCTTTAGATGCTGCTCGTGTGCCCTCGTGAAGTGTAACTGAATAAATCTGCACGGGGAGTGTCCGTGCCCACAGCTCTGACCTGTGCTGGTGTCTGTCAGGGTGTGACACGGAGGAATCTGGCCCACAAGCTGGTGTCTGGTCACAGGTGATGTCCCCAGGGCTCAGTACTGGGGCCTGTTCTGTTAACGTCCTCATCAGGGGTCTGGATGAGGGGATCAAGGGCACCCTCACTCAGTGTGCAGGTGACACCAAGCTGGGTGGGTGTGCTGATCTGCTCAGGGGTTGGAGGCTCTACAGAGGGAGCAGGCCAGGCTGGATCCATGGGCCAAGGC